TTCTCCAAATTAAAATTCTACCAAAGCCTCCATAAAAAGAGGCTAGTCTTTCTTTGTACCACCGAGTGGCCTCAATACCCCTTAGACAATCAGTCTAGGTGGCCCTCCGAAAGCACTTTTAATTTTGGCATCCTCACTGACGTAAACAATTTTTGCCGCCGCTCAGGAAAATGGTCAGAGGTTCCATACGTTCAGGTTTTCTGGAATCTCCCACCCCGCCCGTCTCTATGTGTCCAGTGTTTCACCTCACAGGTCCTTTTAGCTAAATCAACTGAAAGGAGCATGGCGGCGAAATCAAAACTTGAAAATAACCCCAACTCTCCCTACCATACTCTAGCACTGTCCTCTGCGCTTACTGAAATGCCAGACACTCGGGCTCTCTCCTTAACCGATAGCTAATCCTCCTCCTCCCGCCCATCCTCTGCCGCCCTATGCACAGCCACTCTCCCTCCCTTCGCCATTGTCTTCCCCCTTGGCTGATGGACAGCCCAACCCTCATTTCGCTCCTCCCTGTGTCAGCGCATACTCGTTCCCACCTCCTGTCTCTTAGGGAAGTAGCAGGGTGTGCTACGGATCCACGTTCCGTTTTCTCTCCAAGACCTGTCCCAAATCGAAAAGCGCCTTGAACAGGGTCGTGGTTCCAGCAGTGTAATCTCGCGCCAGACTGTACTCAAATCCAAGGTCTCCAAGGTGAACAGCCTCTGGCATGTTAAAACAATGTAGGTAAAGGAAGTTGGCAAGCTGAATCCGTAACTTCAGAATAAGGGGAAATGTGTATATTCCTGAATAAGAAGTGCTGCTATTATGTTAATGAATCCGGGTTGGAGGAAACCAGTATAAATAAACTTCATAAGTTAGGAAAAAAGCTATCTGGTGAGGCCCCTGGCGTCTTACAAGGAGGTTGGTGGTCTAATCCATTCATCGGTTGGGTTGCTCCCTTAATAACCCCTCTTATAACCATCTGCGCTATGCTACTTCTGGCGCCCTGTTTGCTGAACTTTCTTCGCAACCAATGCAAAAAATTTCTCATGTTGCCGTTAATCAAATGTTATTGCACCCTTACAGTCCTCTCCCACAGGAACCAGACATTCCCAACCCATAAGCCCTCCATGCCATCCCAGTACCCGCAGGAAGTACCCAGAAGAGTCATCGCCCATATGACCAAAGAGTTGGGAATGTATGGCAAGATCAATACCAGGCTGGCTTCTAGCAACAAATGACCTTGAGTCTCCCCCACCCATGCAGAGCTGACCAGAGCTAGCTGAAATAATTAGCAGCAAGTGGCCTTGAATCTCCCGCACACACCTGCGGAGCTGACCAGAGCTGGCTAATGGCCTGCTTTGTTCTCGACCTGCTGCTCTGCACCTGGCACTGGCATGGCCCATTTTGCTCAGTGCCCACTTTGTTCTTGCCCACCACTCTGCACCTGGCACGAATACACCTGGAACCAGGAAGACACCTTACATCCAGAAACCCGGACATACCTGACCATATAAGCAGCAGCCCTGTAGCCTGCAATGCGACTCCCCCAGCCTGGACATTGTGGACTGTGGGACTTCACCCAGGCTGGGTTTTTTTCTCCCTAATAAAGCCTGTTTGTTCTAATTCGACTGATTTAGTTTCTGGCGCCTCTCCACTACCTTACAGTCAGCAATATAGATCTCTCTCTGACCTCTCTCTCTGGCCTCTCTTGTCCCTCTCCTCTCCCCTCCTTGCTCCCTTGTTCCCTTGTCCTCCTTCCCTTCCCCCTCTCTCCACATGGACCTCCAAGCTGGGCTGAGGTGAGCAATGCTACCATAAATTGTGTCTGACTGCATTATTGTAATATCTCTCCACCTTTCATGCTCTTGATTACTTTAATTATATATATATGTATATACTCAACCGTACAATTGTGCTTACTGAACTTGTGTGTAGTACTGGGAGCAGGTGGGGCTGGCCCCACATCCACATTTAACGTAATACTACACACCAATGGAAGCAGCTGGTTTCACTGCTCAGGTGATCATCCTGAACCATCCAGGCCAAATCGGTGCTGGATATGCACCTGTGCTGAATTGTCACACTGCCCACATTGCTTGCAAATTTGCTGGGCTCAAAGAGAAGATTGATCTTGATCACCATTCTGGCAAGAAGTTGGAAGCTGGCCCCCAATTCTTGAAGTCTGGTGATGCTGTCATTGTTGACATGGTACCCAGAAGCCCATGTGTATGGAGAGCTCTGACTGTCCTCCTCTGGGCCGTTTGGCTGTCTGAGACAGGAGACAAACAGTTGCTGTAGGTGTCATCAAGGCAGTGGACAGAAAGGCTGCTGGAGCTGGCAAGGTCACCAAGTCTGCCCAGAAGGCTCAGCAGGCTAAATGAATATTTCCCGTAACGCCTAACACTCCAGTTATTCAGTGGGGGATGAATCGTCTCAGACTGTACGTGTCAATTGGTCATTTAAGTTTCATAGTAAGAGACTGGTTGAGGATAAGAGTGCGTCGTCAAACATTCAGAAGGAAAAGGATGTCTGTGGATCATATCTTTCTTTCTTTGTATGGAAGTTTTAAGTTATTAGTTTTTAAAATCAGTACTTTTAAAATGGAAAACAACTTGACCAAAAATTTGCCACAGAATGTTGAGACCCATTAAAACAAATGAGGTGGGCGGTGAGGGGGCTAGGCGGAGAATGACTGTTCACAAGGGGAAAGGACATAATAAACCTTTGAGGGGATAACTGGGCATTGCCTCTGAATTAACAATAATCCCAGGAGACCCAAATTTTCACTGTGGCCCAACAGTCAAGTTCTTAATGGAGTCTTAGTTCGGGTCCATCTCAGATTAGACCAGTGGGTCCCTGAATCCATCTAGTAGTGGTTGTCCCAGATCTATATTGTACAATTATAATAGAAATACCCACCAACTGTAGAATAAAAGGTGTCATAGGGGGAAAAAACAAATAGAAGCCATAAAACTGACTTTGCCTGGGAAAATAGTAAACCAAATCAAATAGTGCATTTCTAGAGGGATTGAAGAAATTAGTGTCACTATCAAGGATTTGAAGGATGCAGGGGTGGTGATTCCCACCATATCCCCATTTAATGCCTCTCTTTGGGCTGTGTAAAAAACCCAAATAGTTTTACTTAACCAGGCAGTGTTCTAAATGCAGCTGCTGTTCCAGTTGTGGGTGCTTGAGCACATTAATAATTATCCTGGTACCTCGGATGCAGTTAATTCCTTTTACTGGATAAAAATAACATTAAGGACATAAATCCAAACTTAAAATGAACAAAAGTAACAATAATTTCCCTTAGTATTTTTAATATTCAGTCAATGTATAACAAGTCTCCCCAATTGCTCTGAAATGTCTTCTGCGTCTCTTGCTTTCTCCAACCAGAATGCGATGCATTAGGCATTATGTGATAAATAAAAGTCTGACCTGTATTACCTGGGGAGCCCTAGCGGGACATGGGACCCAAGCATTAAGCCGTTTGGCTAGACTAAGAGAATATCTTCTAATTTACTAATGCCTTGAGGGGGTGGGGATGGGGAAGGCATTGCGACAACGCGCAATGATTCATGGGAATCGTAGTCTTGAATGTTGGGGGTCGGATTGACTGCGGTCCCTCTACGCATGTGCGACCCAGCCCCTTCGCCGCCGCCGCCGCCGCCGCCACCCCGCTTCCGCCCTCTCTGGCGACAGGCGTCCGCGGAGGTGCACTTCCTGTGAGACGCGGGAGCGGAAGCGCGGCGTGACCTGTCAACCAGCAAGGCACCTAGCTTGTACTCCCGGGCGGGCTCAGAACGTCTCGGAAATAGCTCAGGTGGGACCCACAGCTGCTTTCGCCCCGCCGGCGAGAGCAGGAGCGCAGGTGGGACCCCCCGGTCTGCCGGGGGCGGTGCTCGGTGTGGCCGAGGTGCGGCGAGACGTCGCGGCCGGGCCCGGCCTGCAGCCCTCCTCGCGACCGTGCGCGCGGGCGGCCAGGGGAGCGTGGAAAAACACCAGTGCGTCTACACCGAGAGCCCGACAGCTGGATCTAGGGAAACTCGAGTAAATCACAGCTCCGCACTTGGGTAAGAGTCAGGTTTCTCATCTTGAAAAATAAAGGGTATTAGTTAAAAACGTTTTCTTGGCAGCATTCTGCGAAATGAGTTGTCACCTTTCACCAAGTGCCAGTTCATAAGCAACATGTGAATGTTGGCTCCCATATTATTGGGAGGACACTTGATTCTCTCATTTAGTATTCCATCGCCTCATAACCCCGTTATTTATGGTATAACCTTATAGTTATTTAAAAAAAGAAGAATATGGGCTCATGTGTGAAATAGTCTACAAAGGTCACAGGAATGAGCCCTTGTGGCGCTGCAGGATCACATTGTGGACTGTTATCCGCAAGTTCTGAGGTTCACTCTGCAGGAGAAGGATTGAGCTCTCTGCTCCCATAGATTTACAAAGTCTTGGAAACCTTATATAGCAGTGGTTCTCAACCTGCTTAATACAGTTCCTCCTATTGGGGTGACCCCCAACCATAGCATTATTTTTGTTGCTACTTCATAACTAATTTTGCTACTTTTATGAATCATAATGTAAATAGCTGATATGCAGGATATATTTTCATTGTTACAAATGGAACATAATTAAAGCAGAG